ATATATACAAATCAAATTGAAATGAAAGGAGGCAGAAAGAAGAAAAAAAATCCTATAATATCTGCCCTGTTTTTCTATTTTAATTTCAAGCAATAATAATCAAGTAACAAAAACAAAATAAAACTTCAATTCCTTCTCAAATAACAGCTTGGATATACATTATACAGTCTCATATTTCTTTAACAAACTTATTTTTACGTGTCTCACAAAGAAATACATTGAACCAGCATTTTTATAATCTCTTTCCAGATTATTCCACAACCTTATTCCCTGAAACGTATTACATCGGCCCTTCAAGTTTGTTCGACTTCCAGGTTTCACAAACATCTCAAGTCCTTTAAGATTATAAGAGCTTTCTCTCTTAACAAAATATAACTGGATGTTTAAAGGCAACATTTTTATGAGCCTTACACATAAGCTGCAAAATATTATAATCTACTCAAAATTTTAATAATTTTAATTTACAAAATAATATATTCGAAGGGTGACTGTAATGTTTTCTGGTGATAATTCTTACATGTTATATGTATATATCTTGTATGTTTTTTTGTCGTGTGTCTTCTTGAGATGGGTGTTCTTAAATGTAATTTCATTGTGCTCCGTACAGTGACAGTTAAGGCATCATCATCATCATCATCATCATCATCATCATCATCATCATCTCAGTTTAAAGTTTGTTGCTTTCATCAGATTCTATTTGAATTTTTCAGGAGGATCGTTTTGCTTTTCTTGCTGAGTGGTATGATCCTGCAGCGGGTCTTCTGCGGCGCTACCAGCTCTTCTTCTACCCCAAAGATGGCTCTGTGGAAATGGTACTGTACTCCTGCAACAAACGTCCACGGCTGCTTTAAAAAGAGCTCAAAATCTCTAAACATTTTCTCAGCGACAACCAGAACATTCAGAAATTAGTAGTTAAAACAGCCTATAACTGAGACACAAATGAGTAAATAAGATGTTCACACAAATATCAGAATTATATCAATCTGCTGTTTTTTTTTATGAAATTTGCAGTTTGACGTGAAGAACCAGCGGATATTTCTGAGACGGACCAAATACGATGACCTCCACCAGGAGGACTTGTTTGTGGGAAACCGAGTGAACGTGTTCTCGCGGCAGCTAAATCTGATAGATTATGGAGATCAGTACACGGCAAACAAACTGGGCAGCAAAAAGGAAAGGTATGAGTGATTGGTTGGGCTGTGCAGTAAGTCTCTGTGATCCCCTGCAGTAATTGCACACACTGTACCTCACAGCTCTGAGCTTCATCAAGACAAATAATCCTTGCAACTAAAATTCGCCCACATTATACATTCCTTCTTTCATATCAACTTTAGAAACACTCTGGTGTGATTTTGTTGTTCATTCTAACAAATCATATAACATCTTTGTTTAAAAGGAACTCTGAATAGTTGTAACATTAGATATTTACTTCAACTATAAAAACCAGATTATAAAAATACTGTAGGCTGTTTAGTTTTTATAAATAAAAAACTACATTGTCACATGGAAGTCATGTTATTTCCGCTGCAAAGCATCCTGGATTAATGATGGCTTGCTAGTTCCTCCTGTGTGTGCGCTGTCCGTCTTGAATGTTCATTTTAGACAATGTTGGATATTAAACCCTATCAAATGAGACCAGRGCGCACTGACAGAGAGAATGTAGAAATGACTCAGCCTGACAGGAGATGATGATGGAGGGAGAACCTCAGCTTTAGCCTTTTAGCTTTCGCGTTTAGCTCCCAAGCTAATGATAGTAGCTTACAGTTTGTGAGACTGAAGGACTGTGTGTCTAACCAGGTGGTCAGCAGCACAGGAGCACCACAGGGAACTGTAYTCTCACCATTCCTGTTCACATTGTACTCTTCAGACTTCCAGCACAAGTCAGACTGCTGTCATCTACAGAAATACTCAGATGACTCTGTAGTTGTTGGGTGTATCAGAGATGGACAGGAAGCTGAGTACAGAGAGCTGGTGGACCACTTTTTGACATGGTGTGGGAACAATCATCTCATCTTGAATGTGAACAAAACAAATGAGATGATTGTAGATTTCAGGTGTAGGTTTCAGGTGTTAGAT